CCCCAAAACCCCAAAACCCCAAAACCCCTGTTTATAGAATAAAGATTGAGTGTTAATTTTTCACCTTAAATTGAGAGAATTTTGACTTGCCTCCTCTATTAATGAAGCTAAGCTTTTGACTAGAGGTCCAAATTTTGTTTATATCTCAAGGCTTTAAGCCACTTCTATCCTCTTGAATGCTATCACTCAAATTTGATGGTGACTTTGACTGGATTGGAGCTGTAAGAAGAGATGCTTTAGTATCGATTCTTTCAGGACGTTTCTTTTCTTCAAACATAGCTGCTCTAGTATACAATCTCTTTTCCTTCATCTTATTCAAAGTATCATTAGCTTGCCTCTCAAGATACTTTTTATACAAAAGGTAGTAAACCATTGATTCGTTATTATGAATGTACATCTCCACAGAGTCTTTAGTATAAGTATAGTCATAGCCAAGCTCTTCGACTCTTTTCACCAAACTCTCATTGACTTCAATGAGCTCTTTGCCTAGCTCAAATCCTCTGATATCTTCGATTTCGTAGTCTCCAAACCACTCGTGCTCTCTGATGTCTTCAAGTGTGAATCTTTTGTTTTGGTCAACATTAAAGATACCCTTGAGGAGTCTCTCCACTCTGTTGTTTATAGACCGATGAGGCTTGATTTTGCCATTCAGGATGTTATTTGTACATAGCTTCTTTGTTAAAATTTGCGAATGGATGCTTCCCTGTTAGGAGAAAGTAGAGAATTATACCACATCCCCATACCTATAGAGAATTTTATTTCTGCTTCTGTGGAGATAATGCACTTACATCTACTTTTTCAGGGAAATACGGCTTCCTGAGGATTATCTCTGGTGAGGAAAATGCTGGAGTTCCCAATGTCTCATTTAATTTCTCTCCTTTAGAATATTCCTTGCTAAACCCGAAGTCTATTAATTTGGCATTCTTGTTCTGATCAATCAATACGTTTTGAAGTTTTAAATCTCTATGGCAGATCCGAATTGAGTGAAGATAGCTTAAGGCAAATATTATTTGTCTGAATAGCCTCCTCGCTTCTTTCTCAGTGAGTCTCTCTCTTTGAGTAGTGTAGTCAAATAAATCACCCAGGTCTAGATACTCAGTGCAGAGGATGAGATTATCAGGGTCTTCAAAAGTTTGATACAATTTGACAATGTTTGGATGACGGACCTTATTTCAAAATATTTATCTCATTGCATAATCTTTCAATTGAATTAATGTCGCTATGGGTATTTTTCTCGATATATTTTAGCGCAACTTTCATTTCTGTTTGAATATGTGTGACAGGATATACCTATAAGCTGATTCTCGAGATTTTACCTTTCCAAATCCACCTTTACCGATCGCTCTTACTAAACTTTTACCAGGAACTTTGTCAAATTGTTCCTCAATTTGTTGAAATACAGATTCTTTCTCAAACTCAGAGATTGGTTCTATCTCTTTCAAGAAGTCGAGGTCTCGGAATTCTAAGAATATACACCCGAAAATTACCTTTAAGGGGATCGGAATTGTTGGAATCGATATCATCAAGCTTGGGAATTGTGAATTCCTTGTTCAGGTCCTTGACCATCTCGTAGTATGACTTCATTTAATATTTTTATAATCCATGATATCTCTGTATAAAGGGGTTTTGGGGTTTTGGGGTTTTGGGG